AATCTGGTTGTCAAGCGGTTCCTAAAATCCACCATCCCACTGCAAGACATCCTTAAAATGTCACGTAAACTTTGCATGCATTTCAGCCATTCCTACACCGCAAAGCACACCCTCCTTGAGCTGCAGCGGGCAGAACGGAATTCCACAGCATCGCCTGATCTGCGACGTTTTGCAACAAGGTGGAATTCAACCCCTACACATGTTAGACCGCCTTTACGAACAGCGAAAGGCCATCACCGATTTCCTGATGTTACAAGCGGATAAAGGTACTCCCCTGTGTAACTTCGATGTCAGCCATTGGCAGCTCATGCGTGACACCTGCCGCTTGCTCAGGCCCTTTGAGGAGGCCACGCTATTCGTGAGAGTCGGCAGGACTATGGGTGATGAACGACGTCATTCCTCTGTTGCACGTCCTGGAACAAATGCTGTTAACAATGGCTGGTCAGGGTGCGGTAGACGTGGCGCACAGATCTCAACGCCACATGACCCCTGTGTGGGGGGCAGGACAGGAAGAAGAGGAGGAGGTAGAGGAGGACATTTGTGCCTCAGGAATTATTGAGTGAAATGGGTGGTTTTTCCACTCAGCGGGACAGGAGTGGAGGAGCAGGAGCATCTGGTAGAGGAGGAGGAGGAGGAGACAGAGGACCCAGACGCACCGTGGCAGTATGCTGTGGAGATGGAGGCAGGGGGAGTCCCTCGCATTCCTTGGCACAAATGGCCCATAGCATGCTCGGTTGCTTGCGCGTAGCGACAGCCGAATAATAACCCATCAGACAGAGGGATGACTTTTGGCTGTCCACCTTGTTGGACCCTCGCTACCGTTCAAAAATGGTGGCCTTTTTCACACCTGCTGAGAGGGAGGCCAAAATAACGTACTATAAAAAACCACCTATGTAGTCAGTTGGTCTCTGCCTTTGTGCGCCAACGTCCATCCTCAGACACTGTGGGCCCTGTGCGCTCGCGTTCCGCTGCCATGGCAGCAGGGGAGGGGGGGGGGTGGGGTGGTAGGAGCAGTGTGGCAGCTCCACCAGCAGCGGCTGCCTCAGTCTGCAGTCGATGATGAGTAGCTTTCTTCACCAGCGCAGTGAGGAAACTACTAACCAGCCGCAGCAGCAGCAGCAGCAGCATCAGGTGGACCTGGAGCAGGACCTCAAACAACAGGCTTGGGCCTACTTGGACAGCCCCCTGCCAACCGAGGTAGACAATCCCCTTGACTACTGGGCAACGAAACTTGACCTTTGGCCCCAACTAGTTTAGCTGAATTTGCCCTTGAAAGGCTGTCATGCCCGGCCAGTAGCGTGGCATCGGAGCGCGTGTTTTAGTGCGGCAGGAGGTATTGTAACTCCGCGGAGGACACGACTGTCCACCCAAAGTGTGGAGAGACTCACGTTTGTGAAAATGAATCAGGCGGTGGATTAGTCTGGATTTCAAACCACCAGTTCCTGACACAACTGACTAAATCCGCCATGAATCATGCCTGCCCCAAACATGTGCCACTTTCAGGTAGTCTCCTCACACTGCTGGTGTGTTCCATTTTTTTCATAGAGGGTGCTGGCAGATTACGGGCCTCCCATAGCTGCTGCCAGGCCCCTAATCTGCCATGGGCCCCTATATACCGCCTCCTCATGCTGCTGCCAGGTCCAGAGTCTCTCATGGGTCCCTGTACGGCCTGCCCATTGCTGCTGTCTCCATCGCCACACTCTGCCATGTGCCACTTTCAGGTCTCCTCACACTGCTGGTGTGTTCCAATTTTTTGACATAGGGTGCTGGCAGATTACGGGCCTCCCATAGCTGCTGCCAGGCCCCTAATCTGCCCATGGGCCCCTATACCGCCTCCTCATGCTGCACTGCCAGGTCCAGAGTCTCTCATGGGTCCCTGTACGGCCTCCCATTGCTGCTGTCTCCATCGCCACACTCTGCCCATGTGCCACTTTCAGGTCTCCTCACACTGCTGGTGTGTGTTGAATTTTTTTGACATAGGTGTGCTGGCAGATTACGGGCCTCCCATAGCTGCTGCCCTAATCTGCCATGGGGGACCCCCTAATCTGCCATCCAGAGGGGTCCCTGTACGCGCCTCCCTCTGCTGTCTGCCATCGCCCCACACTCAGCCATGGGCCACTTTCAGGTCTCCTCACACTGCTGGTGCCCTATTTTTTGACATAGGGTGCTGGCAGATTACGGGCCTCCCATAGCTGCTGCCAGGCCCCTAATCTGCCATGGGCCACTATACCGTCCCCTCATGCTGCTGCCAGGTCCAGTCTCTCATGGGTCCCTGTACGGCCTCCCCATTGCTGCTGCTGTCTCCATCGCCACACTCTGCCATGTGCCACTTTCAGGGTCTCCTCACACACTGCATGGTGTGTTTTCAATTTTTTGACATATAGGGTGCTGGCAGATTACGGGCCTCCCATAGCTGCTGCCAGGCTCCATCTGCCATGGGCAATGTGTACCCTGTACCGCCTCCCATTGCTGCTGCCCATCGTCCACACTCTGCCATGTGCCACTTTCAGGTCTCCTCACACTGCTGGTGTGTTGAATTTTTTGTCATAGGGTGCTGGCAGATTACGGGCCTCCCATAGCTGCTGCCAGGCCCCCTAATCTGCTGCCCATGGGCCCCTATACCGCCTCCTCATGCTGCTGCCAGGGTCCAGAGTCTCTCATGGGTCCCTGTACGGCCTCCCATTGCTGCTGTCTCCATCGCCACACTCTGCCATGTGCCACTTTCAGGTCTCCTCACACTGCTGGTGTGTTCCATGTTTTTTTGTCATAGGGTGCTGGCAGATTACGGGCCTCCCATAGCTGCTGCCAGGCCCCTAATCTGCCATGGGCCCCTATATACCGCCTCCTCATGCTGCTGCCAGGTCCAGAGTCTCTCATGGGTCCCTGTACGGCCTCCCATTGCTGCTGTCTCCATCGCCACACTCTGCCATGTGCCACTTTCAGGTCTCCTCACACTGCTGGTGTGTTCCATTTTTTGTCATAGGGTGCTGGCAGATTACGGGCCTCCCCATATAGCTGCTGCCAGGCCCCTAATCTGCCATGGGCCCCTGTACCGCCTCCTCATGCTGCTGCCAGGTCCAGAGTCTCTCATGGGTCCCTGTACGGCCTCCCATTGCTGCTGTCTCCATCGCCACACTCTGCCATGTGCCACTTTCAGGTCTCCCACACACTGCTGGTGTGTGTTCCATTTTTTGTCATAGGGTGCTGGCAGATTACGGGCCTCCCATAGCTGCTGCCAGGCCCTAATCTGCCATGGGCCCCTGTACAACCCTCCTCATGCTGCTGCCAGGTCCAGAGTCTCTCATGGGTCCCTGTACGGCCTCCCATTGCTGCTGTCTCCATCGCCACACTCTGCCATGTGCCACTTTCAGGTCTCCTCACACACTGCTGGTGTGTTCAATTTTTTGACATAGGGTGCTGGCAGATTACGGGCCTCCCATAGCTGCTGCCAGGCCCCTAATCTGCCATGGGCCCCTATACCGCCTCCTCATGCTGCTGCCAGGTCCAGAGTCTGTCATGGGTCCCTGTACGGCCTCCCATTGCTGCTGTCTCCATCGCCACACTGTCTGCCATGTGCCACTTTCAGGTCTCCTCACACACACTGCTGGTGTGTTTCCATTTTTTTGTCATAGGGTGCTGGCAGATTACGGGCCTCCCATAGCTGCTGCCAGGCCCCTAATCTGCCATGGGCCCCTGTACCGCCTCCTCATGCTGCTGCCAGGTCCAGAGTCTCTCATGGGTCCCTGTACGGCCTCCCATTGCTGCTGTCTCCATCGCCACACCTGCTGCCATGTGCCACTTTCAGGTCTCCTCACACACTGCTGGTGTGTTCAATTTTTTGTCATAGGGTGCTGGCAGATTACGGGCCTCCCATAGCTGCTGCCAGGCCCCTAATCTGCCATGGGCCCCTGTACCGCCCTCCTCTGCTGCTGCCCAGGTCCCACTGTGTCTCATGCCATGTGCCACTTTCAGGTCTCCTCACACTGCTGCTGGTGTGTTGAATTTTTTGTCATAGGGTGCTGGCAGATTACGGGCCTCCCATAGCTGCTGCCAGGCCCCTACATCTGCCATGGGCCCCTATTACCGCTCCTCCTCATGCTGCTGCCAGGTCCAGGAGTCTGTCATGGGTCCCTGTACGGCCTCCCATTGCTGCTGTCTCCATCGCCACACTCTGCCATGTGCCACTTTCAGGTCTCCTCACACTGCTGGTGTGTTCCATTTTTTGACATAGGGTGCTGGCAGATTACGGGCCTCCCATAGCTGCTGCCAGCGACCATGCCCCTAATCTGCCATGGGCCCCTGTACACGCCCTCCTCATGCTGCTGCAGGTCCAGAGTCTCTCATGGGTCCCTGTACGGCCTCCCATTGCTGCTGTCTCCATCGCCACACTCTGCCATGTGCCACTTTCAGGTCTCTCACACTGCTGGTGTGTTCCAATTTTTTGTCATAGGGTGCTGGCAGATTACGGGCCTCCCTATAGCTGCTGCCAGGCCCCTAATCTGCCATGGGCCCCTGTACCGCCTCCTCATGCTGCTGCCAGGTCCAGAGTCTCTCATGGGGTCCCTGTACGGCCTCCCATTGCTGCTGTCTCCATCGCCACACTCTGCCATGTGCCACTTTCAGGTCTCCTCACACACTGCTGGTGTTGTTCCATTTTTTGACATAGGGTGCTGGCAGATTACGGGCCTCTCCCTTAGCTGCTGCCAGGCCCCTAATCTGCCATGGCCCCCATGGGCCCCTGTACCGCCTCCTCTTGCTGCTGCCAGGTCCACAGTGTCTCATGCCATGTGCCACTTTCAGGTCTCCTCACACTGCTGGTGTGTTGAATTTTTTGACATAGGGTGCTGGCAGATTTCGGGCCTCCCATAGCTGCTGCCAGGCCCCTAATCTGCCATGGGCCCCTGTATACCGCCTCCTCATGCTGCTGCCAGGTCCAGAGTCTGTCATGGGTCCCTGTACGGCCTCCCATTGCTGCTGTCTCCATCGCCACACTCTGCCATGTGCCACTTTCAGGTCTCCTCACACTGCTGGTGTGTTCCATTTTTTGTCATAGGGTGCTGGCAGATTACGGGCCTCCCATAGCTGCTGCCAGGCCCCTAATCTGCCATGGGCCCCTGTACCGCCTGCCCTCATGCTGCTGCCAGGTCCAGAGTCTCTCATGGGTCCCTGTACGGCCTCCCATTGCTGCTGTCTCCATCGCCACACTCTGCCATGTGCCACTTTCAGGTCTCCTCACACACTGCTGGTGTGTTCAATTTTTTGACATAGGGTGCTGGCAGATTACAGGCCTCCCATAGCTGCTGCCAGGCCCCTAATCTGCCATGGGTCCCTGTACGCCTCCTCATGCTGCTGCCAGGTCCACAGTGTCTCATGCACATGTGTGCCACTTTCAGGTCTCCTCACACACTGCTGGTGGTGTGTTGAATTTTTTGTCATAGGGTGCTGGCAGATTACGGGCCTCCCATAGCTGCTGCCAGGCCCCTAATCTGCCATGGGCCCCTATACCGCCTCCTCATGCTGCTGACCCATTGCTGGGTCCAGAGTCTCTCATGGGTCCCTGTACGGCCTCCCATTGCTGCTGCTATCTCCATCGCCACACTCTGCCATGTGCCACTTTCAGGTCTCCTCACACATGCTGGTGTGTTCCATTTTTTGTCATAGGGTGCTGGCAGATTACGGGCCTCCCATAGCTGCTGCCAGGCCCCTAAATCTGCCATGGGCCCCTATATACCGCCTCCTCATGCTGCTGCCAAGTCCAGAGTCTCTCATGGGTCCCTGTACGGCCTCCCATTGCTTGCTGTCTCCATCGCCACACTGCTGCCATGTGCCACTTTCAGGTCTCCTCACACTGCTGGTGGTTTCCATTTTTGTCATAGGGCTGCTGTATGGCCTCCCATTGCTGCTGCCTCCACCGCCACAACACTGTGGCTCCACACTCTGGTTTTGGCCCCGTGACTGCCCAACCAATGGATGAGTGAAAGTGTGCGGTGATTCTAAGATCGACGGCACTCATCTGCATGTCATACTGACTGTCAGTATTATTTTCTTCCCCCTGCAGACTCCAAGGGCATTTAAATTAAAGGTACAGTGTTCTGCACTAATATAAAGTCTCTCTGAAGCCTAGAAACACCCTTTTATATAAGTTAAATTCGCAGCGAATATATTATTCGACTCGAATCAAAATTTTTCCACGATTCGCCGAATCAGTCGAATCGAATTTTTGAATACTTCGCTCATCTCTAGTAGTGATGATAGCATATTTTTCATGCAGATTTCTGTCAGCGGTTGATCAGTTGCAGGGAACGCAAATCTATGTCAGGAAATGATGCATGAGGTGGCTGAGGTGGAAGATTTAAGGCCTGATATGAGGGGTCAGGGTCATGGTCTAGTCGTGGCCGAGATTTGGCTGGGCTGCTGGATGTGGGGGATAATGGAGGTGACAACTCACCAGGGTCCCCCTGGATACAATGACTGTCTCAGCCTGGGATCTGTCTGCTGGTCCCTGTAGTCCTCTTCGTGGCTGCCTCTGCCTCCCTGCATGCTGCTGCTGCTGCGGCGCCATCTTGGATTCCCGACCCGACGGCCGGAAAGAAATCAGTGAGTTTCCCCGGCTGCCCCGGGGTTTTCCTCCTGCGGGGCATGATCACCGAGGTGCGGGTGTCTGTCAGGTAGGGCTGAGAGCCGTTTGTTGTCCCCAGAGCCGGAGTGTGCCGTTTAACGCTGGCGGGTGGACGGAGCTGCTAGCAAAGCACGTCCATCCGGGTGCCGGCGGCCGCGCATGCGCCCCTCAGAATCATCATTTTAAAAGAAGCAATTTTCCCCACCCAGGATAATTCAGATTTTGCCATACCAGAAAGGTCTTAGCGAATGATGGTAAAAAGTGGTTTGAGTTTGGCATTTGCCAAAGAAGACAGATTGGCAGTTATGGTGATACCTAGGTAGGGTATGGATTTATCCACCCAAGTGTATGGGAGGTGGAATTTCAGGTGGGGCTTTGAGCGTGTGAGTTAATTCCTAAGTCTAGAATTAAGGATTTATTAAAGTTGACCTTGTCATATGACAAAGTGCTAAAGTGAGAATTTCATGCACAAACGTAAGGGAGATGGTTGGCTTGGACAGAAGGAGTATTACATCATCAGCAAACAGATTGATTGATGACATAGGATTTCTGGTGAAATCGAAATCCTGATATGTGAGGGTGAGCGCAGATGGTTTCATCCAGTGGCTCTACCATCATGTTAAAGATAGAGGGAGAAAGTGGGCAACCCTGACGTGTACCATTTGAGATTGTAAATGTTTTAGATAGGAGTCCCGAGGTGAATACTTGGGCTGAGGGGTGGGAATATAAGTCCAGAATTGCTGAAAAAATTGGTCCCTGAAATCCAAATTTCTTAAGTACAATAAATATACTGTATATCCCCAGTGTACTATGTTGAACGCCTTATCTGCATCGATGGAGAGAAGCAGAGAAGGCATTCTACGTGTTTCTGCAAAGTATATAATATTTAAGATTTTGTCAGGTGGCATCAGCTGCTTTATGACATTTAGTGAAGTCCTACTGATCATGTCCTACCAAGGATGGAAGTATATTGAACAAGTGTTTTGCTAGGAGTTTCGGCGTAGATTTTAACGTTGACATTTAGCAAGGAAATTGGTCAAAAATTGAATGGCATGTCAAGGGATTTGCTTGGTTTAGAGAGTGTAACAATATAGGCTTTAAGCATTTATTTTGGAAATTAACCAGATGATATTGCCTTATGAAATACAGGGAGAAGTTGTGGGATCAGAATGTCTTTAAATGTTTTGTAGTATTCATTTGTGAGGACGTCAGGGTCCAGGGATTTTCCATTAGAAAGAAAAAGGATAGCATGCTCTATTTCATCTGGAGTGACATTAGCATTTAGGACTTCTAACTTGGATATTGTCAAAGAGGGCAATCTGAGTCTGGCCAGAGGAAGTTTTCAATAGCTGTCTCAGAGGCTTGCATAGTGTTGCAATTATCCTTTAGGTTATGTAATGAGTGATAGTAATCGCTAAAGCGTCAGCTATTCACTGGAGTTTTTTGAGTTTAGTATTCGTAATGGGATGTTTGAGAGGGAATTTTTCACTTTTGATCTTTGAATTTTGAGTCTGTTGGCTAAATGTACCTGCTTTATTGTTATTAGTGTAGTAATTAAGCTTAAGTTTGTGCAAATAATGATCGTGTTGGTTCTCTTGTGAGGTGGATCTCCAGACTCCCCTTCAATGGTGCTGGGACTGTAGGCACCTTACCATGTGAGTGGTATTTTAATATATTTTGTTTGGTACCATGGTCTGCACGTAGATGTCTTTTTATGGATAGCCAATGTTGTATGGAGCCTATTTGAAAGATATTACTGATTAAAAGGGAGTCTGGAGATCCACCTCATGCGAGAACATGCTTGGTCGACCTAGTGCTGTTTGACCATCCTAACGGGAGTGTGGAATTTAATTATCTAACATCAGTGGTCAAGACGATTGATTTGGAAAATAGGCATGATCCAGCAACCTGCTAAAAGACTTTCATTTGTTTTTTGTGGTGTTGGGAAATGCACTTTGTGGGACTTTTTTCTGATATCTTGTTTATATTTTTTATGTTGTGTAAGCGCCTCTTTACCTATCACTTTCTATATTTATCTAAATGTAGTAGGCCTAGATGTCTTTAAGTTTGGGCTTCGAAAGGACCTGCAGTTGTGGCTGGGCATGCAGAATTGAGCAGTCAATTTCTGAATGCTGTGTTGGGTTCTTGATGGTGCCAGAAAAGTTAGATTGTTGGTAATGTTTGGATGTATGGTGAAACCTTAATGGTCATTAATTTGTACAATTATGTGGTGTTTATGAAATAAGTAATTTCTAAGGTTTGTTCTAGGTGAACAATGGTGTAAAGTGACTGGTGTGTACCCACCGCGCTGGCTGTGAATGGCTGGTGGCTGGTATAGGTTTACAACAGAACATGACATTGGGTGGTCCTGTCTTTAATGGTTGTTTTAGATTTCATGTATGTTTTGAAGAACTGATGTCAAAATTATGTTATTGCTATTATTTTGTTATTTAATAAAAGCCGTGGTCATAACATTCTATCAAACATAATTTGTGTCACATTGTATTATTTATGATATTTAATGTTTATTGTTTTTGATGTTCAGTAGCACCCTCTAAGCCCAACAGGGTCATGTCAAATCTATGATATAGTGCACTTTTTATTCACCCAATCATATATTCCTTATTGAATTAGCATAATAAATGACACATTTTGTATCCAAACCAAAGTTCAAAGTTATACTGCATTTAAATTCACAAATGTTACGTGTTGTTTTTATCTCCCTGAATCTTTCGTCTTTTCTGTTTCTGTCAGTCACTGTGTTAGGGCTGCCAAATGCCAACCTAGTTCTTTAATACACTGCGCACTTAAAATTAAGAAAGAAACTGTACTTAAATGTAATTGCACTGCAGGCAATTAAGCTTCTAAAATGTCAGATATTATAAAAGCACAGGAGTGTATTTGTTATAACATTTAAAGAGACAAAAAGGCAGCAATATGTCTTGTTGCCTCTATTCTACGAAATATGAATTTAAAACACAAGGCTACATAATTCTTGACATTATAAGGGCAGCATAAATCACGTATATAAATGCAATTCTCATAATCACTCTTTGTAGGAAAGTTCATGTATTACATATTATTTGCAATTACTTCAGCAGACTCCAAAGTGCAATTTTAGCATTTGCAGAGGGTGATAATTGTTCGTTCATCCAATTTTTCAAATGTTGGTTTAAATAGTGTTCTTTTTTTAAATATATGTAATCCCACAACTAATAACAATCACTTTGTACAGCACTTTGGTATGATCATCAAAAATTATAATGTTACTTTTGTAAAATTTTTTTTCACCTTTTTAACCTTTGTTGCAGCTCAGTATTGCAGATCTCTGCAGTCTCTTTGCAGTCACTTCCTGTCTCCATGCTTGCCCTCCAGTGTTATTAGCATAGCATTTCTCAGGGAGGATTTTCTGCTAATAACAACAGTTATGCCCATGACTATGCTTAAGCCTGTGCGATAAGTGCTTAACCACTTCAATACTGGCCACTTTCACCCCCTTCCTTCCAGGCCAATTTTTAGCTTTCATTGCTGTTGCACTTTGAACGACAATTGCGCGGTCATGCAACACTGTACCCTTTTTTAGACAGATAGAAATTTCTTTTGGTTGTATTTAACCCCCCTGGCGGTATTCCCGGGTGTAGCTTGGGTAAAGTTTCAGTAAAGCGGTAACCCCGAGCTACACTCGGGCTTACCATGCGGCGCTGCTCCAGGATCCCTTCGATCACTTACCTTGTCCTGCGCTCCCGCGATGTCCCTCCTGCAGTGTCCCTGGCAATGTCCTCCAGCGGAGTATTCCCGAGTGTAGCTCGGCGTAAAGTTTCAGTACCACAAGCGGTAACCCCGAGCTACACTCGGGCTTACCATGCGGCGCTGCTCCGGGATCCCTCGATCACTTACCTTGTCCTGCGCTCCCGCGATGTCCCTCCGGCAGTGTCCCTGGCAATGTCCTCCGGCGGATGCCGGCATCTGTCATCTGGGTTCCGTCCCCTGCGAGTGTCGGGACGTACGGGGGATGGAACGGCGGGAAATTTGAAAATGACAAAAAGTGACATTCACTAAATACACTACAATCACATAGCAAAACATTACTGTATCAAAGCATTTCACATACATTTTGTCCCGAGTGCTTTGTCCTGTGCCCTGCCTGCACTTTTACTGTTCTTTCTGCCTGCAAACTGAGAAACGTCCATGGCGTCCAAAAAACGTCCCTTTAGGTCAAAAGCAGTTTTAGATCAGTTAGAGAACAGCGATAGTAAATTAGAACCACTTGCAGAATTGAGTGATAATGATTCGTGGGGAAATTCGTCATCAGACACTGAAAACGATTTTGCGACTTTGCTCAGTGATGTGCAAACTTGGCGCTATATTTCAAATTTCAGTGTTTTTGGTTTGATTATATTATTGAATTA